TTTGGGTGGACTTGAAGTTCCAACCTTTTGGGTAACCTTTAGCACCATCCAGAGACCCCCAAGGCAAACTATTGGGTTTGAGTAAAAGCAAACGGCTTGTGCAGTTAGCAGTAATCTCCAGTCCCTCCCCTTCTCCACTACCTTTTATAAATATTCAAAACCTCAAGTGTTCTCTCTCACTTGAGTGAGTTGCTTTAACTTATTTTCATGCCAAGCATTAAACTTCTGGGACAGCACGTCAGAACACAGAGGCACGACTTGCCGGCGTTCAGTGATGACTCAGCCTCCAGCAGTGATCAACCTCGGCAGTGATTCAGCCCCAAGTGACGCAGAACTGTCCTAACACACGTTTTATTTTCTTTTTAATGATGTTTTAAATTGAGTGGCCCATGTCCAGAAGTCATAGTTTACTATATAGTTAGATGTCATCATTTACTACGCAGATTGCGGGCAAGTGTTATTGTAGCTTATTTCTACCTTCACTCGTGTTCGTCCCTCTGGCAGTATTTACTTGCTGGATCTCAATGTATCTATTAAACATTTAGAATACAATTCAGCCAGGGAGGGCTAAGCAGTAGTTTATAAAGCAGGCTTGTGCATCGTAATCATTAGGAGAGCACATCATTAACAAATGTCGGTTTATTCCAACCGAGAAGGCATACCAAGATGGATTTTTCTCTGATCCTGTTTGTCTTTTCCTAGTGATGCAAAGAAACTTAGTTATGCTTTCAATAAGGATGCTTTTCCAAATCGCCTATCACTCTGCAGGTCTACTCGGGAACACAGCGGGGTTTGGGCTTTGTCCTGAGAAGTATAAATTATCAAGGAGTTTGACTGTCCCGGGAATAGCCCGTCACCTCTCCTAGAAGGGGTCATTTTCCTGCTCAGCCTCCAGAGCAGTCTTTTCTGTCCCAGGGAAGTCACCACAGTGTGTCCTCCAAAAGCACAGAATCTTTTGTTCTAGTACACTGCAGGTTCTGCTGTCCGCGGTGCTAACCTGATTTGACTGGTGACTCAGCAAAACACAAATCCTGCATTGGACATAGAGCAGTTAAAATTTCCTGACATAAAGCAAATCTCATTACTGAGTGCTCTGGGGAAAAGTCTAAATGGCTGTGTTATTCAAATAATGGTGTGATGCCATTTTCATTGGAGACACTGAGTGTCTTCACTCTCTATGAGAATATGCATTTCTTATAAATTGGAATGGCTCCCCTAGGCCCCAGCACCCTTTTGTTCTCCTTCACAATCAAATGGAAAGGATTAGAAAGACAGAGAGGAATGATGTATACTGCATTCCAATGGATGAGGGAGAGAACTGTTTAAAAGGGATGTATGATTAGGTATTATTGTCATGACATGAGTCCAGAATTAAGGCTGCACAGTGGAATGGACCTGGGGGGAGGGATTGCATAGCAATGAAAGAGTTTTTCTTTTACTTATCAAGGAGAATAGTGAATTGGAGTGGGAGGGGGTGGACAGGGAGAAAAGTGCAGCAATGAGTGGCAGGAAACCCTAACTCCCTGTAAACGTTCATTAAAATTAATTTAAAAAAAGTAATGAATAAGTCACAGAAAGAAGGACTGCAGAGCTAATGCCGTCTTAGAAATAAAAGCCAAATAGAATGCATTGCTGTTGAGTCAGTTCTGAGTCATGGTGACCCATGTGTTACTGTGATCTATAGGATTTTCTTGGCTGTAATCTTTTATGATGCAGATGACCGGTCATTTCTTCTGTAGCACCACGGGTTAAGTTTGAACTGCCAATCTCTCCCTTAGCAGCAGAGCCCACTGTTTGAGACTTGAATGGTTTAAGAGATTAGTAACAAAAAAGTGAGCTGATTTTTCCTTTAGAGAGTTTGTTGCTGCTGTTGCTTTTCTGTAACTCATTTAGGTAGAGGTAGTTCAGTGGCTTAGTGGTAAGGAATTGTACTACCAACACAAAGGCACATAGTTTGAAGTCACAGACAGTGTCCTCTAAACCCACTGGAAAGTCACCTCTGTGTTGGTTCTGACTCATTGACACAAACAACAATTTAGATTGTGTGCAATATAAAATTCAGAGGTTGTCATCTCTTTAAACAGGTTATAAGAGGTGGCAAGTTATGACTGATGAAGGAAAAATAGTTCTACGAAAGGGCTTTATAAATTTCCAGGCTCACTCCTTTTGGGATCAGTATGGGGTCATCAGTTTTGGGCTCAGTGTCCTTCTCTGTTTGTCAGACACAGTGAGATTGGCACAGGATAGGGTCGGGTTTAGGATTGTTGTACATAGGGTCTCTTTGAGTTGCGGAAAACTCAATGGCCCATAACAACAACAACAACAACAGCCTTCTCTGTAGGAAAGAGTTCATCAGGCAGTTGGTTCAGCCGAGGGGGACTGCCCAGCCATCAGCAAGCCTAAGTGTCCCCTGTACCTGTCTTATAGCTGAAACACCCCAGTCTCTGCTTCTAGTAACAAAACTTCAGGGAATTCAAAGTTTCTGGCTCCTTTGAGCAGCCAGCTTATTTCCCATGGTCTTAATATATTCAGATTTCTGCTAAAATTGGCCCTCAGGAGCAGTTTATTGGCATTCTTCGGTTCCTTTAACAGTTGCTGGCTAGATGCTCATCTTTCTTTGCACCTTCACAGGCCACAGTTGTCTAATCAATGCCACGGTTCCCTAACTCGGTCCTTATCCAGATCTCCCAGGATCTCTGAGGCTGAGAGCTTGAATCTGTATTTTTAGCACACCCTTCACAGGATTCTGATGCAGCCAACCCTGCTCTTTTTTGGATGTAATTTCAGGACATGCTGGAATGTCTTGTGCTGCTTTTCAGGTGCTTCAGCCCCAGATGGTTCCTGCCTTGCTTTAGGGAATGGTTTGGTTGCAGGTGAGCGTTGAAGCGCTTTTGGCTCCCCAGATCTGCATTGACCCTGAGTGAAAACACAGACTCACAAGTGCCCCAAGGAGGACTGCACTCCCCCATATGTCTTGGTGGGGGTATTTAGTTTCTAAGTTGAAGGGTGTGCACCTGTTTGTCTCTTCACCTATCAGGAGTGGATCCTGGTGGTCCAGGTTCTTGGAAAAAACTGTTAATGTGATTAATGTAGTCATTAAACATTTATTATAAATCATTAGCATTTTGTGGCTTTTGATCCTAATGATAAACTCTTCAAATACTCAAAAACTCAAACTCGCTTACTCTTTTCTGGTAACTGATGATCTGGTAAACTGTGGTGATAGTGCAGACAAAGTCAAGTTTAAGAACCATACCACACACATACAATCATAGAAATGGCATTAAGATACCCCAGCCACAATGATATGAGTCTCTTGAGAGGGTAGACGCCAAATTTCTAAGGAACATGTACATTGCCAAGAAGCACAACAACAGGGCCTGAAGAAGATGCAGGCCAACAATGCCAAGGCCAAAGATAAGCATGCATCAAGCCCAGGATCCCAAGGGATGTCAACCACAAGCTCAGCCCACTTGCCCACATTGCCCACTGCAAGGTTGGGAAGTCTGCACAGATACTCATTACAAGGGACACAGACTTTGCTGGCCAAAATCCAGAGTCAGGGCTGGTGGTAAGTCCAAAGTTCAGCCAAGTTCTCTACTCAGTGCCGGCTAAGGCTTCACCCAGGCTCCTGCTCCAAACCAAACTCCCAAAGATGCTCAGGCCTTGACGAAGGCTTCACAGTCAATTCTTTATCTAAGGACAGAGGACTGTTTGTGATTCCCCTGGGCTGCCATCTGTATGGGGCTGGTGTTCTCCTGTGCTGCTTATGCAAATAGATCCTGAGGCAGGGGGGAACCCCAGGCAAACGACCCTCAAACCCTTTGCTATTGAGTTGGAACTGTCTTATAGCTGACTCTCCAGTGTGTTTCTGAGGCTAACAGTCATACAAAAAGACATTGTCCATCTGTCTCCCTAGGATCCGCTGGTGGATTGGAATCACCAGAGAGGCACTGGCTTTTGAGTTAGAGCAATTATGTCTGGATTATACCACCAGAGCTTGTCTCTTAATATAGTGATGACAATTTAGGCACAGTGGGCCAAATACAGCCCATTACCTATATTGTATGGCATATAAATTAAAAGACGTATTGTGATGCGAATGTCTGCTGTTAGGGACCTCTCCAAAGTACTCAACAGCAATGGTGCCACTCTGAAGACTAAGGTGTGCATGATACATGCCATGGTCTTTGCAATCACTTGCTATGCGTCAGAGAGCTA